GGGGAAAAAATACCTAACTATAAAACATGTATTAAAAAGTAATATAAAAATGTCAATTACATAATTAATAATTTGAAAACAATTTTACACAACTTCCTGTTAAACAACCTAAACCTCATAGTGGCCTAAAGAAAAGCATACCAAGATGAACGACCATCCATTACATTTACTCTGTTTCTGAATCTCTCTCCTTGAGCATCAGCAGCTGACCACATGTTACCTCACATGCAGCAAGGCTTTTTTAGTATTACATTGAGTAATCATGGCACAGCTAATGCAAGAACCATCAGCTTAAGTAATTTTCACCCTCTTTTAGCATGGAAATTCTAGACCTGGTATACCAGGAATCATTTCAATTCCTTTTCAAACTTGCTATGCAGCTTCCATCAACTGAAATCTCATATCCCTGACTGCAAGACAGGAAAAACACGTGCTCATTTTTGTAAATATTAAGATCCATTGTGCTTTTTTATCTATAGAAGTTCAAGGCATCATGAATTTAGTTAAGTGCTGTAAAAGTGTCTATAAATAAAGTATTTGTGGGATGCTGCTGCTTGTGCTGTCCCTGTTCTTTGAATAGCAGACTGTTTCTAGTCCTTACAATCTGCCATTTGCATTAAATTCATTTGCATTAAATGCATATGCATTAAATGCATTATGAGAAACAAAAAGCTAAAATGAACCAGCATATTTCCACACCTACTCACAGTCTAGAAGAGGATTTTAAAAAAGCCATGTTAAAACATATGTATGAGGAAACATGACGACAACCATTTTTAAAGAGAATGAAAACCTAGAAATGCATAAATAGTGTGCTCCAGAATATTACTGTATTTACCAATCTTCACTATGTTAACAAATAGCCTCCTTTCTGCTCATATAAGCACCAGCTAAAATACAGCATGATTACAGCCAGCCATGTTAGAATGCAAAGTCTACATTACTATTTGTGTGCAATTACTCTGTTAATTAAGATAATAAGTCAAGCACTGAGGTGTCCAAAATTGTACAGAGACTAAATAATGCCCACTGGGAATGACAACCATACTATATGTGCCAGTCACATTCCCAGTTCCTTTCCCACTCTGACCCTGATCATATATGATCAAGTACCGTAGACAAATGAACTGTATTTTTCATTGGGAATTCTATCTGGATGAACGAAAGAAACAGTGTATGAACACTAAAGCATATTCTCTGATTGACATTAATCTCTTTCATATTTCAAATTTAAAACCCAAAAATCTACATCAGCAAAGACAGAAAGAAATTACAAAGAAACCCACATATATATTTTTGGTTACCTATGAAACTCTTCACTTATTAACTAGGGGAGCTTTATACTCGATCTTGAAGTACCAAGAGGGAATAAGAAAATCAGTCTTGGTCTCAGCAACTTGTTATGAAGCTTGAGAAAAGAAGCAGTCAACAGATGTACTGCAAAGATGCTGATAATGATGAGCCTTACAACTGCACAGGAATTAAAATTATGGCCAAGAAGTGGCGCTCTTTTTAAGATCATAGCAATATACTGTAAAGACAGTACATAATTGCAATATTTACACCACTATAAACATCTTCACTGACACATTTCCCATTTCATTCTGCAAGCTCCCCCATAGCTAAGATCCCTTCTGGTAGCTAGGTTCCCTCCATCAAAGTGCAATCACTCTTACGGGAATTTGCCAAAATATTTTTACATGTAATTTACAAGTTTTAATGAACTTCCTAATTTATGACAGAAGCATGAACCGCTCTGCTCAACAGACAAATGAGAATTTGTTGAAGYTCATAAGTAGTCCAACCCACCTATCCCTAACAGTCCTTTCAAAGCAGGAAAAACAGTAAACCTGGATGAGTTCTTTGTTCTCAAACATTAACTTTCACTATCAAGACATGGTGTTTAGAGGCTGAAATACATAATTTTTCAGTATATATTTTACATTCAAACCAGTATGAACATTTTAAAGGAAATTTCAGGAAATCCACCCAAACGGTGGATTTCCAAATAAAACAAAACTACTAATTCTGAGTTTCTAGATTAATGTGGGAAAGGGGGTGAATAATTACTTAATCGACCCCTTTCAGGTTGCTGTGCCTTGCGGGTAGGCAAAACAGAGAAATGCAGAAAGAAAAAAATCAGCATCAACAACAGAAACATTAGTCAAAAATGGCACACTTCATCGTATACCTATAAAAAGAAACTACACAACACAACAGCTGGCAGCCTTTGATTAAGCTTAAGGTCTCCTGACAATAAACCAGGCTACTGACACTTAACTGACATGCCTGCATCGACAGTTTGAGAGAGGAGACCTCTGGGAATTACAGAGAATGCTAAAAACGATAATGAGCAACTAGAAGAGAAGCCCAGAAACTCACAATAAGGCTAGGAAATAAGATGTACGTCTCATAACCAAAAAAGGGAATAGATGAATATTTAAGATTGCAGCAAGCAAATATTTATTTACTGTAAATAAAACTGACTTCCTTAAAAGCATTGTCTCTTATCTTGTCAAATACCAGGCAGTAGTTCCACAATCATTTTCCCTCGAAACCACTTGCCATGTCAAAATTACAATGTAGAAAGACTTAAAACACTTTTTCAAAGTGACTACAATTTAGTGTGAAAAATACTATGGTTTTAGTAATATTTACCTCATGTTCTTGGTTATCTTGTCCATCTTTGCCACTTTTTCCACTCTTGACTGATTTTGCAGGTTCCTTAAAAAAAAAAGTTTGCAGTCTCAGTTTTTTTGAAAAGGAGATCTAGATAGATTTTCAAGTCAAAGAATTAGGCTTTTTTAGACACTCACTTAAAGTAATAAAATTGACAAAATAAAAATTATACTATTTTACTGGAAGATAAATATTCACCTATAGAAATAAGCTTTCACATAGGTAAGCAGGCAGGGACAAAGATGCAAGTGATTTGAACCATGTCTAAGAAATTACTTCTACCACCTTGCTGTCTTTGGTCTTTAGTTTCGTAAGTGTTTAAATTTAGTTTACCTTTGAAATTAGCATCAGTATAGTATATTGCACGTTTTACACTTCAGTATTTTGCCTGTTCTTGGGGCTAGAAAGTCCAGTATTAGAACTAGGCCCACAAGTCAATTTTCTCCCTCATAGCACCGTACTTTTCTTGAATCCTTCACCCATTTTAGAGATTTGTTACTCAGAAAAGTGAAGAAAAGTTTCAACGTTTTTAATATCAAGAGTGCCAAGAATATTGGGAAAATGTTAAAGCAAACAACCCCCCACAAACCACAACATCCAACCTCCCTACATCTAATTTTAAAATGACGATGACAAACTAAAAGACTAACAGAAGCAGTCGAGAGAGACAGCAGCTGGCTGAGGCAGACAGCACACTTCACTGTTTCTGACTTCCACTCATATGGCTAATTGCCTATCACACAAAATAAAGTGCAATCCAGCTAACTTCCTGCCGGATTCACAAGTTTTCTGCCATCATTACTTGTGCAAGCCCCTTTCGTAGCCGCCAGACAAATAACTCCCTGGAGCCTGAGGCAAAGCGGGGCCAAAGCTAGGTTCATTGCTATTGTCAGGAAAAGAAGCCGAAAGACTCCGAGGGGCGATTAGTGCTCCTTGAATACTTACGGAGATCCCCCAAGCGCAACCCCCACTGCAGCCAGAACTACGCAGCAGCGAAACTTCCCAGGACAGGGCCCGGGCAAATAAGTCTTGGGGACGGATCCCCCTCCCCCCCAACGTCGTGGAAATCACCCCACCCCAACACCCCCGGGCTAGTCCCGAGCGAAACCCCCCTTCCCGCTCCGCCTCAGTCAGCCCCGGCTGAGGACACGTTTCCCATCCSCTCCCTCCAGCACTCCCCCGCACGCCAAACCCACGCCGCCCTCCACCGACTCCCTCCCTCCGACGGCCGCCGGCGAGACGATACCAGGACCCCGCCTCGGCACCCCCGGACTAGGCCCCGCCGGGAGCTGTCCCCTCCCCGGCACCCGGGGGGAGGCGGAGGCCGGCACACAGCAGCGAGGGAGGGAGCTGCCCCTCACCCGGTGGTGCCCCTCGCGCGGCTCTCCCAGCGCTGGGGAACGGGCACCGCGCTCCGCTCGCCGCTGCCGCCCCCCACYCCAGGCCCCTCCTCCCCGCGGGGCCTGCACCCCACAGCCTCCCTGCGGAACTCAACCTCCCCCGATCCCCCCCAACTCACTTTCTCCTTCTTGTTTTTATTCGGCATGGCCGCGGAGGCGCAGCCCCCACCGGCCCCGCTTCGCTCCGCGCCGCGCCCGCCCCGCGCTGCCGCTCCCCCGCTCCGCGGCGGCCTCGGCACCCCCCCTTCCTCCCCCGCCCGCGGGGACCGGGCCCTGCCCGCCCATTGGCTGCGCACATCACGTGGGCAGCGGCTCGCGTCGCATCATCGCGTGGGCGGGGCTGGCAGCGCACCCGCCCCCCGGCGGCTCCGGCGCTGTACCCGGGGCTACGGCGCTGTACCCGGGGCTACGGCGCTSTCCTCGCGGCTCCAGGGCTCTCCTCATGGTTCCGGGACTCTCCTCACGGGTCCGGGGCTCTCTTCGCGGCTCCAGGGCTCTCCTCACGGTTCCGGGACTCTCCTCACGGTTCCGGGACTCTCCTCACGGTTCCGGGACTCTCCTCACGGCTCCGGGGCTCTCCTCACGG